GGGAAACGCTGCCGAAATTTTTTAAAATTCATTATGTTTAAATTTAGTATTTACAATACATACTTTATTCCAACACGTGGTTTCTATTGTTTACAAATGTATATGTATTTTTTATATATTTTATGCATTGTTATGTTTAGCGTTGTTCTCCACTTCAATGGGTAAGATAAAATAAGACAACAAATGGTACATTATATTTTAGCATTGCATAATGACAATACAGATAAACTATAACAACACAATAGTACAAGCATATAAGCATGATTATAACAAACGACACACATTATTACAACCCCTGGACGGAGGATAAACCAACATATGCATAAATGTTTATTGATCAAGAAATCTTCATCATGGGAATCTTTCTTCGTCAGACATTTCAACGTCAAAAACACTTCCTCCTTCCATAGACAACTGTAGGCACAAACGTGCTTCCTCAACCAAACATTCTGCAGCACGATCGCCTGCAATTCGGCAGAAGTTGTACCGAGTTTGCCGTATTGCCATACAGTTGTTTTCAGCACGAATACGCCACAATGTACCTTCCAACTCTTGTGGTGTTTTAATAGACATATTAATGGTAATTTGTCATGGCCTACATATGTTACAAATGCGTAAATCTTCACTTAGAACTGCTCTCTCATTCAAACAATATTGTCATTCCTCCCTTATTCTATTCACTGACCTCTGTAAGAAACGTAAACGAGGATTTAGAGGATAGAAGAATTCATCCTCTAACGTCCAATGATAGCCCAAAGTTTCAAACACTAAGCGTGAACTATAACTCATGTTTGTAATTGGTAAGTACAATAAGAGAACAACACACAATCAATTTATAGTGATATTCTTATGGTAGTCGTGGTAACTATTTAGCCAGCTATGGCTAAATTTTTTATAAATATGATGATTTGACTACTCGTGCAACACTTCTAATTTGTCTCATCACTGAATGAAGCACATATCTATCAGTGTTAAGTTGTCAATGGTGATTTAACACAAGACTGTTTGTACAAAGTTGTCAGTGTTATGTCATCAGCGTCTATTTTAGCACAACACTGTATCAGTGTCTAGTCGCTATCATTGTTCACTCGTTATTGTATCTTCACTGCAATATTTTATTCCTCAGTTCAATGAATGTAATATTAAAATAAGTTACGTTCCTGTTTAAATACATCTACTTAACTACAGTGCAAATCATATATACACTATAATGTCAACAACATCAACAAATGGGTTTTCAAGCCAACCAAATGATGACTCATTCCCAACCAACCACTGTCATCATGAAACATTTTCTTCATTTAGTTCACTAGAACCCGATAATTACACAGATCCCACTAGTGTAACATGGTATGAAAAATTACATTCCTTTAAAAATGAGTCAATCAACATTCATAACCCTTTCACCGAAGTCGGTCATGTGATGATTAGACCTGCAACCTTTGTTCCGCATCTAGAGTTTTATTATCACCTACCGGGACCAAGTTGGTTGAAATCTTATTTCAAGCGCTGTGAGCTTGAAGGATATTGTCGTTGGCATGGATTACGAGTGCTACAGGCACGTTCATCTGAAATGTATGTGGAATGGTGCATGGATAACTATCATGATATCATTGCAACACTGGCTCTTGAGAATGATCAAATGAAACGGCGGCTAAATCACCTTATTACAAAGGCAAATATTGAACATTCAGACACTGTAAAGCGTATTAATGCAATACTGTCCAATCAATCCATGGCTTCTAACACTGAACTTTCTGATTTTGAAGAATCAAGTGATGATGATCATTGTGCAAAATTTCTCCCTGTTACTCTTTGCTTACATGGCACACCACTATGCTGTGGGAAATACGATCGTCATTAGAAATATTATGACTAATATGTCTATATTATGTCATTTAAAATAAAATTTTATAGTTCTATTTCAGCAAAAGACATAACGTCTCTTCATTTTGAATGCTTTTTTGTAAAGTTTTTTATCGCAAAAGAAATAAAATCTCTTTCCCCCTGGTTTAGGATTTGTAGGTTGGGATTGGGGGGCGATTGCTATTCTCTTTTTGGATAATAATAGTTTTCGCGGGTAGGGTTTTTTAATATTTAGGGCTTAAGGTTTTGTTTGTGTGGGGGTGAGGAGGGTTACGATGGGTAGTATTTTTGAAAATTAAAAATTGTGAACTTAATAGTTTTATTATTTATTGTTTAATAGGGGTGGGAATGAAATTTTTATTTGTGGGACTACATAGAAATAGTCCCACTCAGGTTTTTATCTTTTTTATTGTTATCAGTGTACAAGTTGGATAACTTTCCAATACCGTAATTTCATTGACCAATATGCTCAAAATAATTTTTCAATGCTTTCAAAAAGTGTGATAGCAGGGGGTAGTTATTAATTTTTTAATGTAAACGTTTTGGGTTGAGAAAGGTATATAGGTAGCACTTTGAAAGCGGATGTGTTAAACACGCTTTCATTAGAAACCATTTTCAAGAAGTCCACTTTCTAATGAAAGCGTTTTTATTAAATCCGCCTTATAATGAAAGCGGGTTTAACACATCCGCTTTCATTGGAACGATAAGCACGGTTTTTCCTTTTAAAAACAGGTTTGATAAATACACTTTCAGAATAAAAACGGATTTTATAATTCCGCTTTACCAAATGAAGTGTACTTCTTGATTCTGCTTTCATATGAAGTCATACCGCTTTCGCATGAAGTCAGATTTGTTGATTCCGCTTTTAAAAAGTGTCATAGATTGGTGAATAAGTTCAAAATAACTATATTTTGGTAATAGATTCAAGACAATCACCACCGACCCAAGCCTACAATCTACACAAAGTAACTCGAAAGTGGCAAAGAAGTTTCCTAAAGAACAAGCCAAAGGGAATGGCCAACGAGAAAAGAAGAAAGAAAAGGTGGTATTATTTGTGGCAAATTCCCCAACCATAGGGAATCCTAATAGCAGTAGTCCTAAGAAAGACAAGATTGAAGCAATGAAATTAGATACCAGAAATCAGAAAATCAAAAGTGGATCTAGAGAGTATCCAACTAAAGGGAATAAAAAAATCTCAATTCAACATTTTCCCTAGCTCTAAAGAGTTACTTTTGTTCTTCAAGAGATATGTTCTAAATTCATTCGAACTACAATAGTTAACATTTGAGTTTGAAAGAGTGGTTGACGTAAGCCAGGATACTCGGTAGTCAAAAAAAAAAAAGAGAAAAAGGGGCATGCTTTTTTGTACATATGGAAGCAATTGTGGAGGCCTTTCATGACTACATAACTCGTCACAAAAAGTAAAAAAATTGGTGCCCAAGGATTTTGATGACAAACAGCATTCACTATGTGATCTTCACATGGCCTTAGATGGGGAACAATCTTCCATGACGAAACCTACATGTTACTATTGAAAAATCGCCATGAGATATGGTTTGTTGCAACATCGTCACCATTTTTTATTGTCACTTTCCGCACTAATTTTCTCTAACCTTCTCCAAAAATCATGATTAAAGCACTAGGGACCAAACCAATATGTTCTCATGAGGGGACTCGAGTAATGACATTGTCAATAAATTTTATTCAAGGAGATATTCAACTAGTTAGTTAACAATATTGCAATGGTTTAATCGTACAAAAACCTATTAAAATCAAGTTTCATTAGATTAAACTGTCGTAAAAATTAGTGTAAGCAATAAAATTCAAAATTTGATTCTATTTTTTTATTTTTTATTTTTTTTTGGGGGGGGGGCGCTTTATGGTCATCGAACTCATCTAAAATTGTATTATAAGAGTAACATTTCATTCATCCGACTAAAAAATTAATAAAATTAAAAAAGAAAAAATCGTCGGTGCCTAGCCAAATCTCATACTAACATTAAGGCTGAAGGATAATTTAGTAATTAATCTTCTTAATACCGTTGGTGGACAAAACTCAAAAAATAATACCACCTCCTAGGTGGTATTATATAAGCCCATTTATATGGGTTTTGGTGAATTATAGCTAGTGGGTCGGTATTGTGACACGAAAAAAGACGAACAAAGAAAGTATTACTGGACTCTACATAATATTTTTCCTAATCCCACCTCTTTATACCACCATTATCCTTCAAACAAACATGCCCTAAGTGAAAAGCCACATATGTATAGGATTTTTTGTGAAAACCTAACGGGATTCTACACCCACCCAATTACGGTTGATTTAAGTAAAGTTCATGAATTCAAGCAATTTCACCAATTTAACCCTAAGTTAAATAATTGCCTATATACAAACACATGTATATTGATATTGGTATCTAGATTATAAATATTGCAAATTAGAGAGAGGGTGAGAAATATAAGGGTTCCATACCCTAAAAAAAAAAAAAGGTTTGCCTTTGGTTTTAATTTGATCCCTAAATTTTCAATTGTCTCAGTTTAGATCTTCAACTATTAATTTTGTCTCAATTGCATCCTTTTATTTATTTCTACCAATAGATTAATGATGAAATAGATCAAATTGGGCTACTCTCTAATTGATCTAATGATGAAAAATAAAAGATCAATGAACAATTTAAAACCGAAGACAAAGTTTAGGGACTATGATTTTTACCCAAAAAAATATACAAGGGGTGTTCTAGAAGTTATGTTTCGATTCGGAGTTGGTTTTTGGCATGAAAATTAAAAGAGTAATTCTATTGGGATCCAAAAAATTGATTTAATTTGCTAAATTAGTAATGTGATTTTATTATAACTATTGAATCAACATTCAGTTCTAATGTTTAATGGGTATTACAATCAATTCAAAAATTATAGCTGATTAGGTCAGCAAATTAAATCAATTATAACGTTACTCCAATTAAAATCCGGTTTCCTATCCCAATACTGCATTCAAGTTTGAAGATCTAGTTTCCTAAACGTCCTTGAAGAGGTTTTTCCCTTATAAAAGGGAACTTCATTTTAGGTTTTCACTAAAAGCACGGCCATAGGACGGGAAGACGAAGATAGGAAGCAGAGAGGTTAATGCCATGCTCATGCAACGGAGACCAAGGAGAAAGACTATTGCTGCTAATAAACGTAGGAAGATAAGCGATTCTAAAGTGACCCTGACACCGACACCAGAGAGAGAAAGAAGGCCATGGTCTGATGTCCATGAAGATATCATGAGATCCATCATGGAAAAATTATATCCAGCTGATCAAATTCGCTTCCAAGCATTTTGTAAAGATTGGCCAATACCTAGTTCGAATTCTGGAACTGGGCCTCTACAGAGAATGCCATGGCTATCGGCTTACTGGTGGTTTCAGGATTCAATTTCCGGTCAAGTTTGTTGGGAACTTTGATCTAAAATGAAACAAATGAACAAGAACACAACAAGCTGGATTGAATGACTTAGTTTTATTAACAATAACTTTGGCTTAAATAGCCATTCAATACACAATCTTAACAGAAACGAAAAAGCAGCCCACTTAGCGGAAATAAAGCCAAGTGGTAACAGAAACTTGGAACAATTCAAATACAAGCAGATGTCCCTAAAGACTAGGACTTTCCCTGTAGACCAGAACATTATTCTAACAAAAAAACTGCAGCAAACTCCTTCAAAGTTTTCATTAAGTGCAAGCTTTGCGACTCGATTAGCGATATTGCCGGGGGAAAAGAATGGAAATTCTTTGATAATGCTAAAGTATGTGCTTCAAAATTTGGTTGGTTACTTTTGGCCCAAAAAAGTTTGCACAAACATTCGTGTTTCCTACACTCACCCTTCACCAGGGACGTTATCAAGCTGCCGGAATTGAGTTCAAAGCACGTCGTTGTGACTATCTCGTCTGCTCCAACCTCTCAAGGCTGCGTCCTGTTCGTAGCATCTCTTCTTAGTGGCAACAAGCTCAGAATCAGCACACGTCGATGTGGCGACAAAGCATGGAGCACACAGAAGTTTGACGGAGAATTTGAGAAACCACAGAAGAGTGTGGTATATTTCGAAGGAGCTTTTTACTGTGTCTTTAAAGGTGGAATGCTGGGATTCTTCACTGTTGAAGATGGGTCTTGGAGCTTGCTTACGACGTCCCTTGACCCTCTTCCATGGTGGGATGAATTTGACATGTACAGTGCTTACCTTGTTGAATGTGATGGGAAACTTTTAATGGCCACTGTATATGAAACGTTTGAGGAGTGGAGGTTTTTCAGGTTTGATTGGTCTGAGATGAGTTGGGTTTTGCAAGAAAGATTGGGAGAGTGGTCATTATTTGCAGGTGGTACTTCTTTTTTAGTGCCAGCAGTGGAGGGTAGGGAATATTTAGCAGAGAAAATATATTACAAATATTTTTGGCATGATTGAAGTCTATAGCTTGGATGATAGTTTACTCTATGAGTTGAAGTTTACCAGACTGAATTATTCCACTGCGGTACTAGTTTGTGTTCCTTAAGAGTCACTTATTACAGTACATTCATTCATCGTTTTTGTTCGACTTAGAATATTAGAAAGATTATCCTTTTTTGTTTGACATAGAAGTGCTGACGAATCTAAATGCCAGAGTATGAGCACCTTAAAGCCACTCAGTCCCTTGACACCAGATAGGTAGTAATTCCTTAGCTTCTGGAGACCAGTCCCAGCACCTGACACAATCGCACGATATGATAAGTCTCCTCAGGAGAACACAAAAATGTGTGTATTGTATTCTTAGCACCTCTACTTCCCAAAACATACAAACAAACTACCAATAGATGCTGCTAGAGACTCGGCATGTTCAGGATCCATTGCATAACTTAACCGTACAGTACAGTATATACAAGTGCATTCAGCAACCAGGTCAGGCCCAAACCATCAATGAAATCATTTGGACCTTTAACCGTATTTACACCTTTCACCGCAAAATTTCACACGCACAATTCAGCAGCAACTTTCAAAACTTCCTTCTAAATATGATCTCAATGCTGATGCAAATCCATAAAAAACTTGAAACTGCTTTCTATCCCCCAATCCAGAACCCCCATTTGGAGGGAATTGTTTCCCAGTTAACTTTCTTTTATCAATTAGCACACGAGTCACCACAATCCTTGCAGAATGTGTTAACCAGAGTGAGATGAGGATTCCACATTTCAACAAGATTTATGCTACAGCCTAATTAGATGGAGATACAGACATTGAAAGAAGAGCGGGAGAGACTTATACCAGATCCAAAAAATTTCCAACAAAACTACAGAGGTATGTTCAATCCCTTGGTCAAGTCTGCCAAAATGGGGCTCCTGAATCATCTGGCTTTAAGAAAAACCAGACTACATTACACCACTTCAGCCACTACAGATCTTTGTATTTGTGTCTCAGAAGGTTGATTCACATTGAATAAACCTTCAATTCTGATCTTACTTCCTTGCAGATGTTGAATATAAAGATGCGACCAAAAAACAGGGAGTCTGCTTCAGTCCAATTGCTCGAAGTTCAGAAAATAAAACTGTATACTGAAGTCAAAGCCAATCTCGTCAAACAATAATCACCCAGGAGGCCTATTCAAACTTGAGTTCTCCTTCTCCATAGAAATAAGACCAGCAAGCCTTTCATAAACCTGCCAAAAAAATTTAGTATATATTTTTAAGTAAGGATAATATAATGCTTAGGTTTGATTTGCCAGGGAAAGAAAATTAGAGTTACTTCTGCTACTCCAAGGATTGCATACCTCAGCAAGCTGCTGCTCATCCTTATCTTGTTTATTTGTTAACGATGGATCATACCTAAAGAGCATATGAAATATGGCAGTCTCAAGAGTATGCTGACAAAGAAATTTCAGAACGTATCGTTTTGGATCAAAGGATGAAAGAGAAAAAATTAAATCCAAATGTGAAATCTACATCTATTACTACTATAAAATGTCAACATACATAAAAAACTTTTGACCTAACAGAATTGTGGAAGTTATGGAATTTTTCCTCAGAATTGAGGATTTGCCCAATGCTCTAAATAGAAGACATGTATTTCTATCCTTGCTTCTGGATTTCCAAAGCACTGCAAGTTTTATCTAGCAGATACATATGATGAGCTGCGTAAGGTAACTCTATACACGTAGATGATATTTTTGTTGAGTGATGCTCTTATTATACTTGTAGTCTCTGAAGGATGAGAACCAACTATGTAGCATCTACATCGAGAATTCAAGTATTATTTACATCATTAGTCCAATGCTTTGTATGAAATACCGGTAACAACGAACTTGCAAAATGGACCTATATATCCCAAAGAGATTCGTTTTCCGTGACCCTGCTTCACCTTAATTATTATTTGAACAAGTAAAAGTTTTGCCTTGGTCTGAGTGGGGATAGCATTTTCTTCTGCATGCCCATTGGGTTTTGATAAATCCAACAACTCAAAGATAGATAGAGAGGTAGCAATTTATGCCGCAACGTCAGCGAGTCGTTATTTGCAAATGTTTATGTGTAGTTTCATCCTAACTCCGAATTTTTTAAACAATTTTTCATGGAAAGTAAACAAAGCCAATCCAAATTTGTTATTTATTATTGGAGTTATAGATCCTTTGGGAATTCTGGCCCATATGCTGTCAAAGTTAGTTTATCATTAGAATTTGTAGTAGAATATACAAGGTACCATTTCAGTCTTCTTAAATCATTGTAGCAGGGATAGCCACCCAAGACTTCAAGTGTAGTGTCTTCTCTGTTTCATCTTTTTTTTTTTTTCAGCCATCATCACTTTGATTTACTGTTTAGTTTATTTATCTTAGGTCTTTGATCAGCTGTGTGAGAGTATTACTTGCTTGATTATGTAGTTCTTGAGGGCCTAAATCCTGTTTCATTGAGAATTCATTATCTTATTTTTCCTTGTAGTTCATGTGGATTTTCAAGGAGCACAAGGCTCACAGTTCCTCAGTGGCAACAAAAACATTTACAGTATGCTGGTTCATTTCTTCAAGTTTCTGGTTGAGTTTTTTTTTTTTTTTCTTTTTATTTTAACAAGAGGATTCTTTGAATCATCACACTTTAATTTTCTTATTTCATTCTCTATTCTACGTCAATAAGAAACATAATCACATGATGCTTTGGAAAAGTAACATATTGCCCTTTTGGCATGATTAATAGGATAATATCACATTTCTTTGAGCAATATTGAGCTCTTGATATCATGTGTTGTCTGATTTCCCTTCCAATGATTTATGCTACGGAAATGGTTTGTTTCTCTCTCTCCGAGAGCAATGAAAGATATTTTTCTTTTGTAATTGTTCAAGTTTAACAAGAGAATTGGAAGAAGAGAGGAGGCAAAGAAGGTGTAATCATACCCTACCTCTCATTCTCAACTTGTATTTATAATTAACTAAAAAATGGCAAAATACTAGTATACCCTTAAAAAGGTAAACTTATTACAATCATATTAAATAATAACGATATACTAATAATACTCTCAACACTCTCCATCAAGTTAGAGTATATATATCATATAATCCAAGTTTAGAACAAATGGTTGTAAGATGAGGACGACTCAATGCATTGGTCAACATATCTGCAAGCTGATACTCAGATTTCACAAATGAAGTTACAATATCTCTACTTAGTATCTTGTCTCAAATAAAATGACAATTAACTTCAATATGTTTGGTCCTCTCATGGAATACAGGATTGGCAGCAATGTGAAAAGTTGTCTGAATATCAGAACAACTGTAAGGAAAGTTAGACTAGAAAACCAATTTCCCCGAGTGTAGTAACCATGTCAACTTCACTAGTAGCTAGGTCTATCAAAATCCGATACGACACGATTAACCAACATGAATTAAACAGATTTGGGTGAGGACTTAACGGGTTTGGGTGGTAAACGGATTGACCCGTTAAACACGTTTAATAAACGGGTCGTGTTTGGGTAAGACATGTCAACCCGTTTATCACCCATTTAAATAAATTTAATATAATAATAAATTAATAATTATTTTATATACATATAAAATAATGAATGAGTAAAGAAAAAACAGTAAAAAAAATATTTAAAAAAACAAAAAAAATAAATCAGTTTAAAAAAAATAGAAACAATAGTTTTGAGCATTCGAGACATTGAATTGTCTTTTCTTTGAATCCCACATCGCTAGAAAAAGCAGAGGGACAGAGCTTTGATTGTCTATAAAAGAGGCAGTGGGTCTCTTGCTTTTAGCTGACTGTGTGGCTTATGACTGTTGTTGTTGGCGGTGGCTGTTGGTTGTTGGCTTTGGCTGGAACTCCTCTAATTGAGGAAAGTACACTTGGAAGAAAAAAAAAAATAGTGTAAAAATTTGTTAAAATAATAATTTTTTTTTTTTTTGCTATTTTAAAATGGGTTCAACGAGTTGTATTATGTTACCCGTTTATTAAACGGTTCATGTTCGTATTGAAAATTTTTACCCATTTATTAAATGTGTCATATATGGATTTGTATGTTTTTCACCCGTCACCCATTTAACCTGATACGTAACTGTTTAACCCGACACGATTAACACCCCTACCAGTGGCATGTGTCATCACTCTATACTCAATCTCAGCACTGGATCATACTACCACTGTTTGTTTCTTATTTTTTTATGTAACCACGACACTTCCCAAAAAAGTATAATATCTAATAGTTGATCTTCGATCCGAGGGAGAACCAGCCTAATCAGCATCAGTAAAACCGTCCACTCTAACATGTCCATTAGCTCGATACAATAACCCAAGTCGATGCACATGTTTAAGGTATCGAAGAATACGAATGACTACATCCCAATATGGTACATCCCATAAACTGACTCGCAACACTAACTACAATACGACCTAGATTTTCAAATAGTGCACTATCATTCATCAATAGCTTTTGGTTCAAATCTATAGGAACATCAATTGGTCTCTCACCCAACAAACCTGTTTCATCTAGCATGTCAAGTATATATTTTCTCTAAGACAAACAAATGTCCTACTTATATCTGACAACTTTAATACCCAAGAAATACCTGAATTTTTCAAAGTCTTTAGTATGAAATCGATCCAACAGAAGATTTTCAACTTTGTAATACTCTCAAAATCATTACTAATAATTACAATATCATCCACATAAAAAACCTGTACAATGTACCCTACATTAGTTTGTCTGTGGAAAACAAAATGGTATGTCTGACATCTGAAAAGACCATACTCTAAAACTGCATCTGAAAACTTATCAAACCATGCCCTCAGTGACTGTTGTAAACCATACAAAGACTCTTTTAGTCGACAAACACTATTATGATACTCCCCCGGAGTAGCAAACCCAATTAGGTACTTCATGTAGACTTTCTCAACTAAAAAAATAGTTAATAGATGATATTCAGATAAAAATCCTATTTCCTTTCAGTCTGAAAC